TAAAATAGCCCGCCCCATTCAGGCCTATGGAGGCCCGTCTAAACCCGGCCCGATGGGCTGGCCTGGGCCAATCCCTTTGAAATGTCGGCCCAGTCTAAAAAATTATAAAAGCCCGTAAAACCCCGCCCAAGCCTAAGGAGATGTGGTGGACTCCCAGTTGCAAACAAAACCCTAGGAACCTTAGGCCATCTCCTGAGGGCTATATCCTCAAATATAGCCCAAAACCCCACTGTGACCTTCGTCATTGACTATTGCTGCTGCTTCTTCTCCTTCTTCTCCTTCTTTTATCACATCAAACCCCCCTCATCTCACACCACCAACTCTCTCTCCCTTTCCCTTCCCTCTCTGTCCAACACTCTCACTCTCTAGCACTTCGGAGGAGGTCATGTTTGGGCCAATAGATACCATCTTTTTATAATTTTGAAGTTTGATTTGTGTATGTTTGTGGGTTTGATGGAAAATGTTAGATTGGGGATGATGTGGGTTCGTTTAGTAATTGAAAATAATGGAGACAACCTGACTCCTCCTCCAACACTCCGAGAACTGTATCTTAGGAATTACCTTCATAAAACTATGCCCAACTGGTTTAATCCCAGACTGCTTCCTGGAAACTTGAAGGTCTGTGTTTGTGTCTCGTGAGGCTTGAGGTAGATTGGGAGGACTTGAAAGAGGATATGCCTGAACTACTCTAAAATCTGTTTTCTTCAACTTGCTTACACAAACAAAATATTATAGCAATTCCTCATTGCATTTTCTATATCCAATCACATTGAAAATTCAGGATTCTACAATTGAACCTCATAAGATAGCTCAACCAAGTAGACCAAAAATTAGATAGTTCAAACGAATACTGCAACAAAACTATATTGACAGCCTGAGGAATTCTTCCATGAAGATGCACTGATCGCAACTTTTAGATAGAGTGGCATCAACATATGTTTCGGTCAAAATGAAATCAAGAGTTATCTTCGTAAATGAGTGCATATACACAATTTAGATTGTGAGATTGTGAGATCGCATACACACAAATTGGATTGTAAGATCATTGAGCTGCATTAGTTTTAGACTTGTAAGAATGATGTGGATAGGAGTTGTATGTACATTCATACTGTATAAAATGGAATGCAAATGCATATAGAAGCTTTTATTGCTGTTTAGGTTGCTGTCTACAGAGACTCAGGAAACATCACGGACTCGATGGAAATTTATCTTTTAACCGCGTCAGAGCATCATTGGGCAGAGCTTGTTGATTCTCCTGTTCTTAGGGAATAAGAAACAGCAATTATATCTAGTTCCATTTATCTAATTATTGTTCGCAATATGTTATAATGAGTGCACACTCTCTTATATTCACGAGTCTTCCTGTTTAGCTCTGCATCAATTAGATAAAAATTTCTTTTGTTCTTTCCCAACAAAAGAATTGCATCAATTAGACAAAATTTTCTCTTTATCTTTCCCCAAGCTTCTAGAATTGCTATGTTCTGAAACATATAATATCTGTTTATGGAAAATATTCCTGCTTCAGGTTCCCATTTGTTTTTCTCTCACATTTCCAGCTTCCAGTTCCTATGTTCAACTCTTTTGCTCCAATCTCATCACTACAAAATGGACTTTAAAAACAGCTTGTTTCTATATAAAATCTTTTTTTCTTGAACTTGCTTAGGCCATAAAATCTAAGCAATCTCACAGTGCATTTATTGATCCAATCACATTCTAAATTCAGGACTTTGTTGATGATGCTTCACAATTTTTAAAAGTCAAAAGGACCCCCTGCTGTAAGATCACAGTATTTAACAACTGCCTTAAGATAGAAACATCTAAAAATGAGAATAATCATGCTTGGCAGATGGGTTCTTTTGTCATTATGAAAAAAAACGTGTAAGCAATCTATATGTCGAGCACTCAAAATTTCGGGCATGCTGATTGATTGAAACAATTAATCTCATGATACACCAGTTCAGGTAAGTTTAATATATATATATGTAATCTGAAGGAGCCTAGAGCATGGATGGATACAAAGTATAGATTGAAAAAATTACAAACAGTAACTTGTAAAAGCGGAAAATGGGCTCTCTATACAAAGAATACACATTGATTACACACATCTTTTGCTATATAAGAACATATGTACTTACTACTTACAGCATCAAGAGGAAGAATATTACAGAGCAGATGGTCACACAACAAACAATTAATTCGATGATAGTAGCCCCGATAGCTCGTAGTCGTATATACTGACTTGCTGATCAATTTGAGCAAAACCATTGTTGAAAAAAGGATCATAAGGCTGATCAGTGTCCAAAAGCCATGACTCAAGATCTTGAAAAGGTAACATGTCATCCACCAATAATAACTGGTCTGATGTTGAACCTTCATAATTTGTTGTTGTTGTTGTTGTTGTATCATCTGAATATATCTGATAACATAACTGGTTGAATTCTTGATCACTCATAAACACTTGGTTGCACAATTCGGAAGAATCATCAAGCGTGGACGTGTCGATAGACGCATCCAAACTGCCTTCAGTGTCTCCTTGATCCTCCCGATCCTGATCATCAATAATATGTACAACCGGGATTTGCTCCTCATCAACCAAGTTGTGTTTTTTCTGAGGGTGCAGTGAGGAGGAAGAAGTGTTTGGATTTGAGGCTCCATTGCCAGTGAGGTCTTGCACAAGCCTCTTGAAGCTTGAGCTGTCAGTGATGTAGACTTTAGGCCTCAAGAGTCTTATCAAACTGTTAAACTCTTTCTTCTCTTTCTTAGATATTTTCAGTGATGTTTGGCTTACTTTCTTCCCCATAGTTTTGATACAATTTTGCCGCCCTAGGAATCACCTCCCAGCTGTTATGATGCTAATGCGGAGGATTCAAAGAGCTATAAATATTAAGGTTATTGAAGGAGCTGAGTTTTGAAGGTGGTGGAAACAGAAAAGGACACAGAGACATAAAGATGCTGAAAATGATATTGTTTCTTTTTCTTCTTTCTTCTATTTTTAAAATGCAAAATTGAAAGCTTCATAATAGGAATCCTTCCATATACATTATACAACAACCCAAAATCACACATACTCTCTCTCTCTCTCTCTCTCTCTCTCTCTCTCTCTCTCTCTCTCTCTCTCTCTCTCTCTCTCTCTCTCTCTCTCTCTCTCTCTCTCTCTCTCTCTCTCTCTCTCTCTCTCTCTCTCTCTCTCTCTCTCTCTCTCTCTCTCTCTCTCTCTCTCTCTCTCTCTCTCTCTCTCTCTCTCTCTCTCTCTCTCTCTCTCTCTCTCTCTCTCTCTCTCTCTCTCTCTCTCTCTCTCTCTCTCTCTCTCTCTCTCTCTCTCTCTCTCTCTCTCTCTCTCTCTCTCTCTCTCTCTCTCTCTCTCTCTCTCTCTCTCTCTCTCTCTCTCTCTCTCTCTCTCTCTCTCTCTCTCTCTCTCTCTCTCTCTCTCTCTCTCTCTCTCTCTCTCTCTCTCTCTCTCTCTCTCTCTCTCTCTCTCTCTCTCTCTCTCTCTCTCTCTCTCTCTCTCTCTCTCTCTCTCTCTCTCTCTCTCTCTCTCTCTCTCTCTCTCTCTCTCTCTCTCTCACAGTATGACCCATCAAGGAAAATGCTAGGGTTTGTATTTACATGGGACGATGTAGACATTGGTCAATTCAAGAGGATGATTTTTTTGGTATTAAGATAAGTATTAAGATAATATATAACACTGTATGCCATAATGGGGTAGAAGAGCATTCATGGCACGCAGCTAACTATTCAATATAATTATAAAAAATTAGTGATTTTTGTTTCAGAAGAAACAGGGGATGTAGTAGAAATTTTAGGCCAAATTATATTTTTTTAGTCCCCGTAGTTTGATTCATTTTTCATTTTGGTTCTTATTATTTTGATTTTCACATGTTTAGTTTTATAGTTTGGTTTGGTTTGCAATCAAGTACAAATCATAAATTTCATCATATTTGTAAATGAAATTCAATATGACGATATGGAACAACCACATGTTATGACACTATTCAAAACATGAAATTTTTTTTTTTTTTTTCTTAACATTTTTAGACTTGTAGGACTTAATTGCTAACTAAACAACATTACTAAACACAAATTATCAAAATTGAAATCATGGAGACAAAAGTTAAAAACAAGCGAAGCTATGAGGACAAAAAGAAAATGTGATTTTGACCTAAAATTTATGTTTCTTTTATAAGGTTGAAGTGGAAATTGAAAGACATCATCACATCAATGTAGGGATGGTGTGAATGGTGTAGCCTCCATGTCCACATCCCACGTCATATCAAAAATCTTGAATTTTGGCGCTGGCTGTCTATATATTTGGCTCCAGCCTGTTGCAAATCACTGTGTGCCACATTGGCACTGCAGATAAGTGAAGTTGTTAACAAACTAATAATGTTTAATTAATTAATTAATTAATTTGTTTTGAAGCCTCTCCTCATCTTGACTGCCGCTGATGGACTTGAGCATCTTTCTGTTCTTCTAACTAAACACGTCTAATATTTTCTTATACCATTAACCCTGATCAAAAGAAATTCGCCAAGTTTGAATAAATGCTTTTGTTTGAAGCTGTGTAAATGATTCTAATTAATCTAACCAATAAAGAATAGTTTTTAGCTATAATACATTTCTTGGCATAGTGAAATGTCTCACCACCAAAACGTGGATGCGAAGTCATCACCTGACCTTGCCAAACCACCTAATGTTTGTATTAGGTTCCAACCGAGTAGTGTCAAGAATGTAAACAAAGGTCATCCCCCACTATGGGAACTTATAACCGCAATGATAGAGCACTTATTTCTGCACCCGTGACGGAAGTTCGAGTTTCATCCTTTTATCTTTCAATCTTTAGGCCTCCTTTAAATGATAAAGAGGCTATGCTCCTGATGTATTTAATTGAGATCCTCTAAATACCAGAGTTCCAAGGGTAAGTGCAAAGAAAGGATGAGCTTCAGGAAATTAAATATTGTAAATTTGGGTCACTTACATATGTAGATTAACAGTACGTGAAATCACCACCAAAAATTGTGTAAAAATGTATTGAAGAAACAAAAGGTTCATACGATGTGAGAGCAAAATGTCACGGTACAATTTACTATGTGTATCTATTTAATTTACATGAAAGAGAGAACAATATCACCACAAATAGAAAGGTGAGAAGGAGAAAGAATGGATACAAAACCAAATTATAATGAACTGGAGTGCTGCTGCTGTCCTGCAGAGTTGATCAGCTGCTAACCCCACATTAACCTATCAAAAATGTTGAGTATAGACCTAAATCCTGAAGAATAACAAAAAGTTCAGCTAAAATGTGTAACTCTAGGGGAAAAAGTCAAAAGAAAAAGCAAAAATCTTTGTACCTTACATGAGGTACACTGGACATCAAGGCTGTTGGGTTGCAGGAGCATTTTCGGTCAAAGATGATCCTAGTCGAATCATTAGAGGATAGACAGGGCTGAACTCTTTGTCTCCTCGGGCCCTCACATGTGTGGCGTAGTCATCTAGTGTTGCTTTGATACCCTTCCAGACCTGATCCTCTCCTTGAGAATCTAGCCACAATGAGTACTGCAGAGGTGTTAGTTTGTTCCTTTGCAGTGGAGACTGCAATTCATCGGGACCTCGGGAGTAAAGATGGTGAAGTATGACGCTAGGTGGTAGATCTTGAAGAAGAGGAGATCCTCCAAGTTGGGATGTCTCCAAGAAAATAAGAGGTCGAAATGCGCGAAGGGCTCTGTATGGTGCACCAAGTTGCTCCACTGGGAACAAATTTTGACCTACAGCTAATTCAAGCTCAGCCATGTCCCTAGCCATCCTTAGCTTCCCTGATTCTGAAAGAGGTCTGACAAGAGAAGCATGCCTGATAAAGAATATTAAAACCCGCGCAGCCATGCTCCTAACAAGCCTAGTGCATATGGTCTCTGCTCCGGCAGTTGCAGTTTTTGAAGGCAACAGCCTAGACAGGAACTCGCTCCGGAAGTGAAGAATGCACTTCTGCAAATCCTCCATGTAAGGTGACGCATTGTTGTCCATAGCAGCATCCATGCCTAGCACACCAAATTTCTGCTCATGAATTTGCAAGATGCAAGACTCAAGACGGTCAAGCATCGCTTGAAATAAGGTTGTCACTGAGTCACAGGCAACCCCATATATGGCACCTAATGAGGGAGACAATACATCTGAAGCAATAGCGGGCAGTCCTGTAATTATAGATGATACGCGTGTATGAATTTCTTGGAGATGCTGACATAAAATGAAGTTCTTGAGTTGTGCTGGAGTTGCAGGACCACTGACTTGACGTGCTTCAGGACCAGCTGATATCTGCCATTTGGGATGTATTTACAAAATGAGAAAACTTCAAACATGGGCTAAAAATCACTTGTCGAAATAAAAGGCTCAGCATAAGTTTCTATAATATACATACATCTTTCACATGCAGTCTGATAGCTCAATTAAAGTACAGGTGAGGGTATACCCATTGAAAAGAACTTGATATCCTTAACTTTTTCTTTTTTTGTTTGGGTTACATGGGGCCAAAACCCAAAAACAGAAAAGAAAAACTATACAGCAATCAACCTGGGTCTGGAAATACCAGCCCAAACATCACCAAGATTAGTCAGCAACCCATCAGGGGGCTCTAGGCACTCATGAAAACCCAAAACAGAGTTAAGGCCTAACTTAACCAAATAGTCAGCAGCAACATTCTTCTCTGTGTGCACATGAATAATCCTCCATAAGATAGTACGTGATTCCAAATTTCAATCAGTCTCATTCAATTACCAAAAGAGCAAGTGAAACAGTTTGGACCATGAAATAAACAGAATGTGAACCTTAACTTGCCGTGGTTATGCAGCAACTACAATGAGTTCATTACATCTAACTTTGGACGTCTTACACATTGGCCAAAACAAGACTGGGATCATTTGCCTACATTGGTAATATTTGACTATGCAAGATAACTAAAAGATTACCTGGTATTCAGCCCGTTCAGCAAGCAGGAGAAGAACCTTGCCAATTTCACGCAATACAAGAAGAGTCAATCGCCCATCCAACTGAACAGCTTCTATTTCTTCTTGAATCCGTGTTATGATTCTTGAGATATGTTCTTTAGAGGGCACACTTCCACGGCTGGACACTGGAAATACAGTATTCACAAGGTCTGACAGACGACCCAAGCAGTGTGCTAAGAATGATGTCTGGAATATTTCAACAGCTGACACCAGTTGTTCTTTTCCCTCTGAAGTAATAGCCGGTAAAACCCCCTTGACGTCTGTGTCACGTGCAATTCTTTCAAGAAGATTATCTATCATTGAGAAAAGCTTTGGATACCCCATAGTGAATACCTCTTTAACAAAACTTGATGCAGTGAAAGCAGACTTCATTTGGTTGGCAAAAGCCTTTACAAGGGCCTCCCACACTCTATTTGTTATTATGGGCTCACCTTCCTAAGCAACATATAAAGTGAGCAAAAGTTATTGATTTTAGACAAGAAGCAGGAAAATTGTTGGAATGAAGTAATGCAAGTCAGAATGGAACTGCAAGTCAACCACTAGAAAGATTAAAAAGTTTATGCAAATTTTCTAGGCGGCTAATCGGTAGATAGTGCAAATCATTCATCATACACAGGAAAATTAATGATCTCTTTGTAAACCAAAATTCAAAGTAAATAGACACAAACTGCAGCAGATCACGGGTGCATGGTGCACATTGACAGGAATTGTTAGAGATATCCAAAAAGGAAGAAGAACCAACTTAGAACAAAAGACATTTAATGACTGGTCAGACTTCAGCACGGTCAGCATAAGATATATCATCTTCTTAGGAACAGCCCGTTAAAGGGTTTCGTTCGAACCAAGTCCAGGTTACCAACTAATACTTCAAAAAATACAGTAAAATGGTTTTCATATATCCATCAACTAATAGAGAAATCAGGCTAGTAGCAGAGACCTGAGAACATAAGTAACATCCATGCTCTGTACCATTCATACACATCAAATAATCAGAACAATTGAAAAGAAAATCCAATTGAACAAACCCTCTCACCTGAATAACCTCATCGAGCAGCAACACATGAGTAAACGGGTCACGCTTCTTAGACAGCACTCTCTGCAAGTGCCACACTGCTACCATGATTGAATGCAGTTGATCCATACAACTCCCAATCTTCTGCCAAATCGCCTCCCTCGCCTTGGCCCCCCCCTCGCCTTGGCCCCGCCCCCAATCGGCGGCGTCCCACCGCCCCCTCTGATCCCACCCGGCCCAAACCCGCCTCCCCCCGACCCGGAAATGGCCTTCATATCCAATGCCACACTCACACTCTTTACCCCCATACCCTTGTACTTGTTAATCAACTGATCAATAGCCTGTCTCAGCTCCCCCAAATTGTAAAACACCTGCAACCCAGTCCCCACCTCGGCCTGGTTCAAACCCTCCATCCCCCTCTCCAAAACCCGCATCGCCTCATTGCGCAACTTGTCTCCGGTCTCTCTGACCCATTCGAGCTCGGCATCGACTACGTCAATGCCAGCGAGGTCATATTCGTTGTAGAGTGCCAAGATCTCGCAATGTAGCTGAGCGGCCTTGGCGAGATCCAGGCGTTCGGGGTCGTCCGACGCCAGAGAGCGGAGCTTACTGGAGAGACGAAGCGCTCTGATGGAGTGGTGGAGAAGGTCGGAGGAGGTGTGGAGGTTCTGGAGCTGGACGGTGAGGGTGCGGATGGAGGTAAGGGGGTCGGAGAGCTCGGATCGGGTGCGGCGGAGGGAGGACTGGAGGGAGAGGACGGAGGATCGGACGGTGGAGAGGGCGTGGTCGGCGTGGTGGAGGGAGGAGAGCTGGGAGAGTAGGTGGTCGTGGCGGGAGAGGACCTCGGAGCGGAGCTGGGACTCGAGGAGGCGGATGGCGTTCTGGAGCTTCTCAGCGGTGGAGGCGGGGGAGCCGGAGGTGAGGGCGGCGGAGGAGAAGTCGGTGGAGGAGAAGGAGGAGGAGAGGAAGACGGAGAAGATGGGGTCGGAGGCCAATGTGTCAAGGGGGGATGCGGTGGCGGTGGTTGGGGTTGCCGTGGACGTTGGGGTGGAGGTTTTGAAGGTGGAGAGGCGTTGCAGTGGGGAAGCGCTTGAGGAGACTGGAGACGGAGAAGTCATTTTCGACTCTCTGGAGTCTCTCTCCTTGTGTAGACTGTTGCTATTTTACTACCCGCGGCCCCCTTTGCTTTGCAGCAACTGTATTTGCCTCCGTTGGCTGTTGGCTTGGCTTTCCCTTTTTTTCTTTTCTCTTTCTTTTTTATTGCTTCAGTTGGCTGTTGGGTTAAGATCCTTAGCCCAAATCTAGCTCAGTCCAAGTCTTTTTTATTTTTTACTTAAACCTGCTTAGCCCAAGCTTTAACTCATGGCCCGTTTGATAACTATTTCATTTTTCATTTTTTATTTTCATTTTTTATGCTAGAGTATAGAGATAAAAGATAGAGAATAGAGTGAGAATGAGAGTGAATATGGGATTGAGACGGAAGATGAGAGAAAGAAGTATCAAAAGTGAAAACTAAAACTAAAATAAAAATTTATTTGAAATTGTTTTCACTTTATTACTCCTCCCTCTCATTCTCCCCTCTCATCCTCTCTCTCAATCTCATCTCATCATCATTCCCATTCTCACTCTCATTTCCCTCTATTATCTACCAAAAAAATGAAAACTAAAATTAAGATGATTATCAAACGAGCCCTTAACTTCTTTTCGTTTTTTTTGTTGTGGATCAAGTCAGTTGGTTAAGGCAGTGTGTCCGCCCCTTGCACCCGAGTTATTTTCTCTTTATACATTAGAGTAGTTCATAATATCGTCATTGTCAAAAACAAATATATAAAGCAATTTTTTTGGGTATTGAAAAAAAACAAATGTCTAATGCACCCTGTAGGAGCTTTTTTCTTCCGGCAGCGGGTGGGCTGGGCTGATGGAGTTGTCCCCTTTGTCTGAGTTCGAAAATTAAGCCCCAAAATGCTTCGAAAGGGCAGCAAGGCCTTAGGAAGTATTTTGGT